AAGAAAAGCAGATCTTGTCTGTGAAGATGCACAGGACCTGTCCTTTAGGAAGAAAAGGCCATCTGAATACACAAGGTAGACTAAGGATAGGGGAAAGCAAATGTTTCCTGCAGTTCACAGTGGGACAGTCCTCATGCAGAAAGTTTTGCTATAGGAAAGCTGTAGAGAAGTTGGAAACCGAGATTATAGTATCCAAGAAATCCTGTATGGACTACTGCCTGCTGGGCTTCAATTCCTGCCCAAAGCTACTCTCTGCTTTGCTCATTTAAGTTAGGATTTACCATGTAAAACTCAACTGGTAAAGGCAGGAACCTTGGGATCTCCCTAACCCTAAGTCTGGTATCACATTGTGACAACTGAGTCCTCAGAATGGGCAAATGGGGAAAGAGGTTTTCAGCCTTTGATTTTGCTGTGTGTGGTTTCAATATTGTAGGAATCGCTGCTCACAGTTCAGCCACTCTGAGGCAGGAATGCTGTAAGGAATCTCACTTGGTCCTTGGATAAGGAAATGATCAAGGACTTGCCTATTCACAATTAATAGAAAAAAAAAAAGCCGAAGGCCTTTATTAATTATTGCACAATAAGGAAGTCATACTGGTTTGGCTCCCTTCAATAGGGCTATTTGGTCACACCTACCTAAGTGGTTTGGCATCCCAACCATCTCCCCGCGCACGGCTGGGGAGGAGGAGGGAAATGCCACCACGGTGCCTGGCCGCCAGCTCATGGGGCAGGGGGAGCTCCGAGTGCCTATCTCCCTTTCCCAGAGGACCAGGCATCTTTTTTTAGAGATCTCTGCCCAACGAGTGCCACCTGTCCCCATGTTCAGGGGTTTCTGCCCCAAGTCCTGGCAGCAAAAAGGAGCAGAAGTTCATGTGTGCCCTGTGCCAGAGTTTCCAGCCTGCCAGCTGTGGGGGTCCCTTCCAGGAAGGGGGAGAGTTTCCTCTCAGGAAAGTGTGCCCAGTTACTGCAGCGCCTTGTCCTTCTGCTGGGCTTTTGCTCAGGGCCTGGCTTACCTCTCATGACAGCAAATCTGTTTAACCCCCAGCTCTAGAGAGCAGTTTGTGACCAGATGTGATGGCTGGCAGGTGCTTCTGAAGTGCCAGGAGACAGATGATTCAAGTGCTGGGCTTTGGCTGTCACATGGGGCTGCACCGTTCTGCCCTCAGAGAGCAGGCCAAGGAGAATTTTATAGCCGGTCGAAGGACAACATCAGCACGGGATGAGCGACAGCACTTCAGGAGCCCAGGTTATGTCTCAGGTACCTTTCCTAGGTGAGCTTGTGCAGGCTGAAGTTTGCAGAGCTGAGGGACCCGAGCCTACTGAGCCTGTGCTGCCTGGAGGTGGAAGGCATCATGTAATCTTCCCTGCGCTGGGTTTTCCTGCACAGAGCACCATTCAACCTGTGCCATGCTGCAGCTTGTCACGGTGGAGGTAAGGAGGCTCGCCTTTGAAGCAGAAGGCAATGTCTGATTGCACGTGTCTCTAACTAATCGACATCTGACCCCTCTAGCATCAGACAAGAATACAACTTTGGATCCAAAGTAGGCACCAAGACAGTAAGGGCTCGGTGAGGATTAGCAGCTCCTCTACCCTTTGGCCACTACGGTGCATTGCTGGGAGATCTTCCCCAGCTTCTTTTAAAAATGTGTGAAAGCATGTTGGAAACTCTCAAGCCTTCAGCTATTGACTGCAGTTAGTGCAAACGTGGCCTCAGTGGGTGTGCGAATGTGCTATTTGCCAGCACTGACATGTGCTGCTCCCCAACAGGATCGGCAGCCGTGCTGTTTGCAGGATGGCCCTTTTTCAGCAGCTGATGAAAAATTGAACACCCATGGTTTTGGGAAGTTTTGCATCTTAGACAAAAGGTCATGTTTTCCCACTGTTCAGGCAGGACTGGTTAGTGCTGAAGTTGCCAAAATTTCCATCTGTGCCCACCACATCCTAGCACAGGCAGCTGCCTTTTCCCTGCCAGCCTACCCTGGCCCCACGCAGAGGAGGGAGACCTCTGTCTCAGTGCCAGGGCAGTTGCCTCAACGCCATCGGTGAGTTTTTCTTAAGCCACCATGATGGCTTGTGTTTTGCAGATACCTGCCCGGTGACAGGCACATTCCTCGGCCGCACCGCATCCACTCAGCCCCAGCTCATGCAGTAATTAGCCAAGTGTTTCCTGGCTGCCTTTAATTACAGCCACAACTATTTCCCTCACTCTAACATAACGCCTCTGAACGACAGCAAAGGTTTTGGGCTGCGTCCCGTGTGGAGCGCGGTCCCAGCACGTGTTGGGATGCAGCCATGCACTGCTCATACCCCCTCAGTGAGTCACGTTTTTAGTTTTTAACCTCAAGATTGTAATTGCCTGTGCTGGGAATTAGCGGTGTCTCCCCCAGCACCCAGCTGAGAGACACCGAGCTTTATAAACCAGCCAGAAGGGCAGGATCCTCCTTAAATCTGTGTTTTAGTCTATCATCTCAGCTGTAATTTGCCCTATCCTGTGGCAAAGCAGCTCAGCTGGCAAAGCCATGGAAGGAAAGTGCACGTCACCTTCCTGGGCTTCATGCTTGGCCCCCCAGCATTTTCATGCCGATGGCAGCGAGGTGGGCACTGAGCCCGCCTGCCCACAGGCAGCCATGGCTCTGTGCTGGGGGCGCATGGCCCTGCAGGGCTGTGTTCTATGGCAGCCCCCAAAATGGCGGGGTTTCTCCCCCCGCACCTTGCTAATGCTGTTGCGGTTAGCTGACCTGGTGGTGGTGGTGTTGCCATGGCTGAAACCCGCCGCAGTTCTGGTCACAATACACGCCTTCAGTGGCTTCCAGCCGGCTTGGGGGCTGCCAGAAATCAACGCAGCAGCTGCTGGGCTCAGCCTCGCAAGGCTGTGATCTATAACGTGCATTGTCTTTTTATGTAATGTGTTTTATTAAACATCTTCTAAAGCTTACAAGTGTCCCCAGGACATAACTCTCCAGCACAACGTAACGCCTTGCCAAGTAATGAAGTATGATTTATGGCGGTAATGGTTATCCTATGGTTTTTTAAAAAAAAAAATTACAGCAATAGCTCTGTCGAATATAGGAATATAACATGCTGCATTTGGCACGTTTATGACAACAGTGCTCTGGTTTTCTTAACTCCACAGTTTGGAGTTGGCAGTATTTCAAATTCTTGAGACAGATGTTTAAATGAATTTTTTAAGAGGACAGTGAAATACTTTTAAAACATCATACGGTGCTGAGTGTCTCAATATGAGCAGGAACATTATTTCTTTAACGTTCAGGTAGGGAAGGGCAGCACATGGCCTCTCTGGTTTAGATCTCACAGTAAATGATGGAAGTAGCAAATGTTGAATTAGCTTTCTGGGGCATCCTGGCCTGCTGTTACTTTTTTGCTGAGGTGGTGGAGGAATGGACACTTGACCTCCTGGATTTAGTTCGCATTCACGTCTCCTTTGTGAGCAGTGAAAACAGATCCACATTTGTTTTGAATGCAGTTCCCACCATGTTGATAAGAGGACTAAGTGGTCTCACGCTGACATTTTGAGTGTGTCATTGTGGTCCCAGTGGTTAGGGTTTCAGGCCAGAAATGATAATCATTTGGAAAAATGTAAATGAGAACCCTGGTCACATATTGGCGACGCAGATAGTGTTCAAATATTTCCATTGAAACACTGAAAATTCTTGGTGTGTTTTTTTTGGTTTTTTTATTTTTTTTTAAATCAGTGGGTTTTTTTAAAGGTGTCATCTAAAACTGAGCACTGTAATTAACAAAGCCAGGATGTTCAGCTCTGGCACTGCTGTTTGCAACTTTCAGTCGTGGAAAATCAGAGCCTGCAAAGGCCTAAGTCGGCATTGCTGGGGACATCGTCCCCCTCTGAGACTGGGAGGGGAAGGCGCCCCACAACCAGGCTGCACGTGCAGAGAGATTGAAGACAAGGGAAGCATCAGTAAAGCAATGAACACTTATATTTAATTTACATTTGACAATTTGCACATAAATAATTATGTAAACCAATACGTAAACATATGATAGTTTGTTGTTCTAGCAAAGTAAAAAGCCTGTTAACTTTGGTCAGAGTCTTTCTTAAGAGAGACAAAAAAACCCCAAAACACTGTTGATTGTTGCTACATTCACATGTAAAACTTCTAAGGGAAGGGGGGAACAGTAAAGAGAAGTAACAATTCTTAAAGCTGATGCATATAAATTCTTGTAAAATTTGTATCAAATACAAGAAAGCACTACAGGCAAATAATAGGAAAAGTGTGTGTCCAGTGACAGAGTAGTGATACTTTGGTTTATCCTACAAGTAAGTACTATATTTATGAACTATTGCTACATTTAAAAGATGTCAGCCTCACAATTTGCAGGAGTGGAAATGTAATGAACTGTAGTCCTTCAAAAGCTGTGTTGAGAGACTTGTATTTCAGGATCGTTTGGTTTTTAACAGAAGGCATTAAAATGAAGTTTGCTGAAAAAAAGATCACCAAATCCTGGGTTGCTGAAGTGGGCTATTTTAAAATTTGTTAAGAACGTAACGTAAAGAAAAATATAGGTGGAGGGGAGGTGTGTAATAATGCTAGTTGACCATGCAACTTGTTAATGGCAGGGTAAAACGAGACAAGGGGCTCATCCCAGCTACTTTCCATCCTGCCCTTCACGGTCTTTTGTGAACACACCACCCATGGGTCATATTTGGCTCCTTTTCAAGTTCTTTCAGTTACATTTTCTGGCTGTTTGCTCACTGACCACCCGCGTCCTTCCGCCCAGTACAGACTGCCAGGAGAACAGGGGACCGGTGACCCCCGTCCTGCAAACGGGGTCATTCCCACTGAATTTGCCGAGTCACCACATGTGGGTGACGTTATTCACATACGGTGTTTGCAAGTTCAGGCTTCAGCTGGGGAGCTGCGCATGCGTACTCGCAAGCCATAAATGCCTTAGTACAACCTTCTGGTTTTGAGGTCACTGGTAATATGCAAAACTGGATAACATTTGATTTTCACACTTAGATGAAAAATAGGTTTTATTACATGGTTTGGCTCACAACTTAAGTGGTATAAATATATATACATATACATATATAGTATAGTGGTATAAATATATCTATAAATATACATGTATTCTTTGCTACACCTCAAACATCACCGTATCATCTTTGGGCTTAGCAATACAAAAAGATAAAAGGACGTGCATTCTATCTTTCCCTGTGCACATTTTGGTTTCTTTTCTAAAGTAGCAAAGCATTTAGATAAAACAGCATTGTCTGCACCACTGGACACAAGCACTGAGGTAATTGTTGTTCAACAACTTTGCAATGCCCTTTTCTTCTTTAATTAAATTAACCACAAAATGTACAAACACAAATACTGAGAAAAATCTGAGTCGTACAGGAAGGAAGAAAAAAAATGTATGTGCCAGGAAAGGACTTTGTTCCCCACTTCTACCCAGGCAAAGTGGGAGAGGAAAATACAAGTAAAACCAAACCCCTTCTTTCTCAGGGAATCTGACCATTGTTTTTTTATCCCTGGAAGGCTCTGGCCAGGAAAAAAAAAAAAAAAAGAAGAAAGAAGTCTGCCAAAAACCTCCTTGTAGGCAGAATATTAAGAATATTTGTGTGTTTGCTTTTAAACTGCTTTTGGAAATAAAAGAATGTAAGTGATATTTTATTTTGGAAGAGCCACTTTAACCTGATGCATTCCTTTGGTCATAAAGTTATATGACAATGTGTGGGGCTAGAGCTGTTTTCTAAAAACCTGGGGTATTGTCCACGGCAGGTACGTGTGTGCTGTGCCACATCTGTTCTGGGTAGAGCCGTAGGTAAAAGAATCTCTCTCCCATCCTCAGAGAGGCAGGAGTAGCAATTTCTTCCCTGCTTGCTCCTACTCTGGGTTTGTCTGGTTTTTTTTTTCAATTCCCAGGGGGGTGATTTGCAATAAAAGTACACAGCATTTTTTTCAAACCAACGGATCTAGGATTCTGTATGTCAAATGTCCAACTTTGGCAATATGAAAAACCACATTTGTTTAAAAGACATCGGTGCATAAAACACATTTACTGAAACCCCAATCTTAGGTTCTTAAAACAGATGTGCAGAAAAAAATATCTACAAAGAATGGCCATAAAACAAAAAATAAAAACATTTTAAAGTAAAAATTACAATGAATTTTCCAGTCATTGTAAACATTTTCCTAATTATTGCTTTTAGAACGATTAATTGCATAATAAATTATGAAGTACTATCATTGAAAAAATAATTATGGATAGATGATTGTCTTTTAGTAACTGGCGAGGCAATGCACAGTCCTTTGCCCCTTTTTATGCCCTGAGAAAACAGTAACTTTGGAGTTCCTTCTTTCAGCTGGAGAGCGTAGGGAAACTACTGTAAGCCAAGATTGCTTTGCAGCATTGGAACTATGTACAAGCAACTGCTACAGGCACCCTGACTTGCCAAGTCATAAATAAAAAAAAAAAAAAAAATCACTTTGCCAAAAAGTCTTAAGGGTCCATTGGTTCAACTGTTTCTTGCTTGACCTTTACAGGTAACAGAGGTAGTGGGTGACCGTGAGGCAACTTCATAATTGACATATCTGACGACTCGTAAAGGTTGCATCCTGAGGAGATAAGTCCATTTCCCAGGTTCCTCTGTAGAGATGCCTTCAGATTAGCTCCTTCCATTTCCCTCCTGAGCATGGTCAGTATATCCTTCTCCACAATCGATGTTAAGTCGATATTGTCCTCCACTTCTTCCAACTTGTCAGCATTGTCACTGATGTCGAACTTCTCGATCTCCTCGTTGATTCGATTCAGGTCCTCCATGGAGAGGCCGGAGGCCGGGGCGACGGGGCAGTTGCCCTTCAGGTGGACCTGGAGGCTGCAGAGGTGAATGTAGCTCTTGTGGCAGTGGATGCATTTATGGGGACGTTCCCGGGTATGGAGACGCTTGTGCAGCTTCAGGTGCACAAACTGGGTGAATTTGGCCGGGCAGAGCTTGCACTGGTAAGGCTTCTCTCCAGAGTGGAGCCGCAGGTGGGTTTTGAGATTGCTGGTGCTGCTGAACCGCTTGTGACAAACCTAATGTGGGGGGGTGGCAGAGAAACAGTGAATGAGTGGGAGGGGATTTTATGGCTTAAATTGCAGACACCTAGGAGGAGACGGCAGGATGAAGCAGCAGCTTTTTATATCTTCACACTTTCTCACAAAGGGACAAAAATCCCCAACTTTTTTATTTAAATATTGATGAACAGCATTTTGAGTATGGCCAATGGCAAAACTATATCAGGCAGATGTTGCTCTAGCAGGCTAAAGGGAACACTGCTGTCTCACAGGCACTGCTGCACCAGGGCTGGAAACGGCTGAGATACAGACTCTAGCCCTGAGCAGCCACAGGTTTGTGATGCAGCCCTCCCAAGCCATATGGGGTGTGCAAGAGCCCTGACATCCCTTCGGCCTCCAAGGGAAGTTGTCTCTGTGGTGTGTTACATACCTGACACTCGTGGGGTTTTTCTCCCGTGTGTACCAGATAGTGCTTCTGGAGGTGAGCCAGCTGTGTGAAGCCTTTATTGCAAGTCTGGCATTTAAATGGTCTCTCTCCGCTGTGTACTCGGAGGTGCACCTATGGAGAAACAAAGCAATTAACAATTTGCAGTTTCCAGTACTGTAACAAAAGTACTTTCAGATGTTTTCTAAAGTTAGCAGAAGATTCCCATTGCCAAAATACAATGTTATCTAGTTAATTAGGTGGTGTCAGTATTAAATACTGTCTTCACGACCATGCTTTCTCGCTGGGGAGTGCCATGTTAAGCCCAGACTGATAAATAGCCTAACAAGCAGGGAGGCCTGTACCTACTTTTCCTAGATAGCCTACAGGGAGAAACCAGAGCCTTCCAAGAAGTCTCATGCCCTGTTCTCCACTGCCTACCTTCAGATTGGAGAGCTGGCCAAAGGTCTTGGAGCAGACATTGCATTCGTACTTGATCTTCCCATTCTGCTTCTTCAGTGGGTATGGGAGGGTTTTGTAACCGGTCACATTCCTCTTACTTTTAATGAGATTCATGGCTTCTTCACCACCGGTGGCAGCCAACACCACTGAGGTAGGTTTAGGTTGCATTATGTGTTCTGAACTGGCTGCTGTACCAGCTGTGGGCGACCCGCTGGTAGGGCTGCATGGCTTGTCCTTCATGCTGGCAGCAGCGCCTGTGATAGAGAAGGCACTGTTAGGTGCTGGTATCAGGAAGTCTCTCGGATGATCGGGCTGCAGTAATCGACGGCCTCCTTCACTGGGCAATGAACTGGGGAGCGTGGTGGGGTTCAACATGTGGTGGGAAAGGCTACCTCCGCTGAGCAGGTTGCCATAAAGAGGATACATCCTTGGGAAGAGATTGAAATTGTTGATGCCATTGATATTGTTCAAAGCGCTCAGGTTATTACAACTCATATTGAATGGAGGTAACAGGAATTTGGGGTAGTGAGGGTTATAGGACGGTAGAAAGGCAGGTGGGATGTGGCCAGGGGGTGCATATCCAGGATAAGACCCCAATCCTTCTGAGCCATACGATCCGTTCAAGTAAGAGTACGGCTCTCTGTGCTCTTGGGAAGGAGGTGCCAGAGGTGAAACCGTGACCCCTGGACTGCTGTGAGGGCTTGAACTTTTTAAACTTTGGTCTGGGCTGCTCCGCCCGGAAGGACTTGGCGTAGTAGATGTCTGGATGGGTGAGTGAGTAATGTAGCTGGGTCTGTCCATTCCGTATGCTAAGGAAGCTTTCAGATAGTCTTCTGGAATGTGAGGTCGGATTGGGTAGACAACTCGAGGGAAGAAACACCTCTCTGGGCTATAGTTCTTATGCAAATCATCCAAATCTTTTTCTGGAGTAACTGGTGAAATGTTGGTCTGGAAGAAGTCTTTTCCTTTTGGATGACTGGATTCCATTTTCAGGATTTCTTTCACACTGTGCTCCTTCTTTGGGATGCTTTTCTGATAGAGCTCATCTTTATCAGCACTGTGCTGCTTTGGATTAACATGGGTTTGTGCTGAAATACAAAGACAATGTAATGATTATTTAGATATGCATCCGTCATTATCTCTTTTCAAAACACAGTCTAACTCCTACAAGTTTAGTGGGAAGGAAAGCCCACTCTTGGAGACAAGCAACCACTTAACTTGCCAAAAAACTAATTTCTGTGTGAAGAAATGCTTGCTGGTATTAAGTGTTAATAAAAAGCGCTGTTAATTTAAGGGATACCAGCCAGTACATACATATCTGGATGATGATTCATTTGCAGAGTGCTAGTCTTCACTTTGCAAACTGATTTCACCTTTCTTTCCCCTTAAATTTGACTAGCTTTGCTGTTTAATGTATATTTAAGCAGTATTTCTAATAAATGCAGTAACAAGCATTTGTTCACAATACAGGTTTAACAGAAGGACTTTGCAGAACGCAAGCTCCCAGAAATGTTCCTCAGTAAAATAACAAGGCATGACAAATCGGCTTTTGCCAAACCACAGCAGTCACTTCACCAGCCAGTTCAATTACTTACAGTACCAAAAAAACCCATGGCTGGCTAGGATGAAAGCCTTCTTCAAAGAGAAGGTATTCTCCATCAGTAAACAGATCATTACTCATTAAATATACTGCTTAGGAACATCTACAACAAAGCAGACTATTTACTGCAGATTTCTGTGGCATTCAGTCTATGCAAAACTCCTCTGCTTGCAGCTGTACTTTATAAAAAAAATGCTGAAGCAAAGCAAAAGAAAGCAAGACTGGTTGGCTCCAGCTTAAGTTGAAATGTACTTTAAAAAAAGAAAAAAAAAAAAGGAAAAGAAATATGTATTTACAAGAACAACAAGGACATAGAAGCCAACATCCATTCGGCTCAGTTCAGTGCATACACTGTTTATTTGTATTCAAAGACTCTACCTTGTTATCTGAACATAATATAATATAAACAGTACACTGAAAGATGTCTTCAATAGAAAAAGATGTCTGCTTTTATCTCATCTCCCAAAGTTCATAGTTATATAATCTTGAAATTATGAATTCTAAGATAATTGTATTATAGGGGAAAAAATACAAGAAGGTTTCATATTTGTGGTTAGCTCTGTGCAAGGTTTTCCATCAGGAGGTACAAGTCAATGCCAGTAGGTATGTGACTCGAAAATATCGCAGCCCTTTAGCCAAGTTTCTACTTTTGTGACTGAGGTGAGAAACAGTTATTTCTGATTTTTGGAGGACCAGCTGAACCCAGTGAGGAAGATGGGAACAAGCAATGACCACACCGCTTCCAACGTGGATTCTTTGCTTCACTATTCACTACCCTGATGGAATCTATCATTTGGCAACATTACCCTATAAGGCAAAGAACAGCCATTTATTAAACGTACCCAAGAAAACAGCTGCTTTCAAAGCATGTTTCTACTCACAGCAATCCACTTTCACAGCAACATCCTTTTTCAAACAGCATTAGACTGGTAGCAAGCAAATTTAATCTGAGATACGTGGGCAGTTTGTGTATTTTCAAGTTGCAATGAAATGTAATGGCACACAGTTATGTTCATTTAAAACTCTTATGATAAAACATAGGGCGTGTTGTAGAGCAAGCATGTACACACAGAAGTGCGCAGATACTTCTCTTGATGCTAAAAGTTTAAGGCGGAGCTCTTTCAAAAATAAACTAATAGCGTGTCTCATTGTCTGGCATTAAAAATCATCTACTTTTTTTCAGTCATTTTGTACTTGTGGACTGATAACTCATTTTCTAAACGCCCATCCCAATTTTTGAGTATAACATAAAAGTTCCTACTAGGTTCAAGAAGTGGATGCTATTATCTACGTCTTATCAGCTGCCTGTCACCACGCCAGCATCTCAGAGCAAATATTCCCAGTGATGCTATCAGCACTGGGAAGTATTGAGACTGGGATGTACTGAAAGCTAGGGGGTTGGGGGTGAGGGTGAGGTGGGAGAGAGAAGCAGGACTTGTGAAGCCTTGCAGCAGGAAAAATAAATAAATACCACCTTATCAGGCCCATATCAGTTTCTCAGTGGGGTCTGTCAAGCAGGAAGTTCAAATTGACACTTTTCTCTTTTAAAGAAAAAAAAGGGGGGGGGGGGCCTGGGAAGAGGAAGAAGTGCTGGCACTGCTGGAAAAGTGATAGAGAAACTGGGGCTGCTTCAGCTGGAGGAACAGCTTCTACTGTCACAAGGTTAAACCTCAGGGTGGGGACATACGTGCCCTTATGTGCTGGAGCAAGCCCGTGAGTGACAAAAAAGGAAGCTCACAGTGAGAACGTAACTTTATTTGTGCAACAGGCCCATGTACCCACTTGACAGAGTGAAGACAACTGCTCTTTCCTTCCCTTCAAAGTTTTCCTGGTAAAGCCTTCCCTCCTACTAATTTCCATGTGTAGACAGAAGTTACAATATTTAAAGATAATTTTTCAAGTCTGTGACAATGCTCTTCAGTTTGCAAGCTATCTTTTGTTCATAAATGCCCTATTGGTTTTCTCCCCTATTACCTGAGCACAAGGGACACTTGGGAACACCAGAGAGATAAAAACATAAACAAGTGTGTCAGCACTGTGTAAAATAAGAGAAGGTAATGTCAGGGGTCAAGGAGAGGTTCTTAAGTTTTATACTGAATGTGGATTTAAACCAGGACTGAAACTGATTGAATGGTTTACAGCTATTCTTGTTACTCTTAAAGGAGTCATAGTTCAAAGGTAAAGGGAGGTATTTCTTATAAATAGATTTTTTTTTTAAACTTGTGATTTTAGAGTTAGGTTCTTACCAATCACAATGTCTCCCTCTCACTCCTGAAACGCATTTCTCCCTCCCACACCCATATACATATATACACTAAATATAGCCACATACTCTTCCAAGATCTGTCTAGTTTCTGTGGTCAGAGACACACACAGAAAAGAGGTTCATGACAAAACAAGAACAGTGCAGCTGTATTTGTAAGTTACTGACTGGAGGGGAGAGGGGGGAAAAAGAAAAAAACCCAGACATGCCTCTTTAGGAGCCCGATCCACTTCTAACCAAGGTCAACAGATTATTTGCTCAGATCTGAGATTAGTGAGTGTGCACAAGAGGAAGAGAGACACAACTCCTGTTACTTTTAAGCATTAATAAAACTTGAGTGGAGGGGCTGCCTGAAGTCACTCCAATGTGGGTGTTCCAGCTACAGACTGCTGCATAGCTCTAGGCTTTGCTCTCATTTCTTGTGCTCCCAAGATGTAGCCTGAGAAAGACTTCATAAAAACAATGACCTGTTTTTTTCTAAAAATTTGAAAAACAGTTGTAGATAGACAGTAATTTCAACAGTAATTTCAGGAGTGAGATGGTACTGAACACTTTGAGTGGTGGAGCTTAATTATGCCGATTCACATTTTCGATCTAAATTAAGCACCTCTTTTTCTAGCAGAAAGAGAACCTCGAAGTTGTGAAGCAGGCAAAACAAAGAGTGTTTCCACTCAAAATGAGAACGGAGACCAACATTTAGAAGTATATAATTTGATCATCTGTTTTCTAAATGGGTCCAAGGCAGGGTGACATGCCTTTGAAAAGATTTTGCTCAGAGAAGGTCTTTAAGGGAACCTTCAAATAATCGGCAATATTAAGTCAACTTTAGCCCCCAAATTCTGGTTTTGTGAAGACAACCTTTCATATCATTTCAAAATCATTTTCCTGAGCCCTTTTGAAGATTTCAGGAGGCATTTTTTTTTTTAAGCAAATGCAGATGTTTCCTCTCAACCCAAACAGAGAAGCTTCAAAACCAGAAAGTGAAACTGCCCATAAACAAAAGGGAAAGCGAGCGGCAGGACTTAGCTAATGGCCAGTGTGTCAGGGACAGAAGGAAGAAGAAAAAAAAAAATATCACATTTAAGAATCAAGTATTAAAAAGTTAATCTTCATAAAATCCTAAAGATTTTAAATAATATCTTGTTAAACCTATTAACGAAACAAAAAGATTGCCAAATATTTTGTAAATAGGCAAATTATGTTCCCCCAACTAAAATTTTTTTATGGAAGCTTGATGAAAAAGATGTCACCTGCCCATACTTGACTGAGGAGACAAACACAACATAAGCAGCAGGAAGTTGCATCATATGATTGCAATACATGAACATTATTATCAAATAGTCATGTCCTGAGTCAATGTAATTGTTTGGGGGGGGTGGGGGTATTTTTTTTAAACTGTTACCTCCTACATCCTCCGTCCTCAAATAATCCCCCTACAGTGAAGTAGGAATGAAATGCTAAACTATGTGGGAACCCGAAAGCAGATTTCCTCAGTCTGTTCACTAGTCCAAAAATAAAGTATCACAGACTAAAGGACAATCTGACAGCCCAGTTTAATGAGGTTAAACACATTGAAGAAACTACCGAAAACTGATTTTTGGCCAGCAGAGTATCAAAATCTTGTGCCATTGCACTTAAAACCATTTACTGTACAATGGAACCATCTGAAGGTGATGTATCTCAAATCTTGATAGAAACAACATCAGTGGCCTTAAAACAGACAAGAAGGGGATTGTTTGAAACAAGACTGTATTTGCACCTCTGGGATAATGCAGGACTCTTGCCTCTACCACTGTTGTGCAACTCCTTGCAGGCACTTCAACATCCACTTGAAGTTACGTAGCTCCACTCGGAGCTAATCACGGCTGTGAAGGTAGGTGTGTGCTTCAGCGTCTGAAGGACTGGGTCAAAGGCCCCAGATCAAGAAAACACACGGGACAGGGTTAAACCCATAACTAAGCACATGCCTAATTGCCGTCTTGAATCTGGATGCTTTCCTTCTACAGCACTAACGAATAACGCTGGAGAAGTTACCTTTAATTTGAAAGTTTGCTGTTACAGAGGCAAGTAGATGTTATATGTGGATGTGTAAATATATTTATGCTCTAAAGTGGTAGTTTGCTCATTTTTGAGGCCACTAATTACAGGAAATAAAGCCAGAGAAATTCCCTGATACCTTTTTCCCTGGAGGCCCATCCCGCCCGGGTGCTTAAAGAGGAACTGAGGTGTTGAACTCCAAGACCGTGATCCCAAAACCCCTGAGGCACCTAAAGCAGCTGCCTATATTTTAAGTTGGCAAGACTGAAAGCTCTCCGTAGGTGTGTGTCCCAGGTGGCCTCTCCTGTGCTGTGCTGGGCAACCAGCCAAGGCACAGCTCTTCCAAAGCCTCCTGCGGGCAATGGCATGATCTGCATACCCAAGACGCAGTGGAGGGAGGGAGCTGGGCGCAACTCACCACGACCATGGGCTGGCAGTGCTGGTGCCCAACGCTCGTGCCGGCGTGTGTCCCAGCAGGAGGGAGTCCTGACTTCAGCCTGTGGTGGGACCTGGGCTCCAACTTTCCCTCCCTACTCCTCAGAGGGCGCCAAAACCTGCAGCCAGGAGCTGGGAGAGGCGACAATGCTCGCCTGCTCCTCTGAGGGCAGCTGTGCCACTTTAAACACAGAATTATCAGCAATCTCTTTGGCTGGAGAGGGCTTTCCTGACTTCCTAACAGGTGGAGGAGGGGACCAGTGGTGGGTCCGCCCAAGCAAGACTGTGTTAAGATGTTTTGATGGCGCAAAGCCCCACATCTGCAGCAGGTGCAGGATCCAAGCCATCTGGGGACAAGCCTTCTGCACTTTATTCACAGATGAATGCACTGTGAGGGCACCTTGGCCAGGCTTGCGATAGGAAGAGGCTGGAGAGGCAACAGGATGCTCGCTAATCTTAGCTTTAACTAGAAGTAGCCTGGGACGAAGAAGGAAACTGAACAGTTTCACTTTAAACTCATCTAGTTCGAGTACTAATGCTGCAAAACCCATCCCTGCTTGCACTGTTACTACAGGGCGTTCAGCAAATAAGCATCTTTGGGAGACTTGTGTATTTTTTTTTCCTGTACTTTTAAAGAAAGGGCACCAAAACTTTAGAAAACGTCAGTTCTTATAGTACCTGTAGGGTTTCTGGCCCAACTGCAGACTTTAGGCCTGAATGGATTTGTCACAAAGATGAGGTGAAAAGATAAAAAAATTGAGTATGTTTTCTCTTTTTTTTGAACTGCTATTTTCTTTAGGTGGAGGGGGCTAACATAAAATTTCTAAATGGTTTACATGGAATTATCTTTGAAAAGAAGAAAGGATATTTCGATCTCAGTGTCTGGAAAGATTGCTTTTTTTAAATGTTAAGGCTGAACTACACAATTGTTGCTCAAGATCCCATTTCTTTAAATCCAGATATTGAGCCTACTTTTACTAAAATGGATTATTCTGCATGTGTCCAGACCCTATTTTTGACTTGAGTAAGACTAACCAGGTAATTAGTTGACACTTCACATACATTCCTCACTACTTCTGCAAGGCAACCTAAGATGCAGGAAACCGAGGCTGCTTTTGTGTATCCTTCTAGCTCATGGCCAAATGTGTCTGGCTGGATTTTTGCAAACTCCTCAACCACAGGAACCCTTAATGCTGTTGTCTCATCCCACCTGCAGGTCCCATTGAAAAGCCAACATTTCCCTGTATCAGAAGATGAAACTGCACAGCGAGTGGTGAAATGACATACGTGCAAAGGTGACAGAGTCAGTGAGATTTTTTTTGAATAGGGAATATAGCAGCATAGGACATTCCTTCCCTCCCCCCTTTAGAAGAAAGCAAATTTTCTTCTATAATTTGTAGGGAAAGACCAAAAACTGGTGAAAGGATGATCTCCACAGAGGATAGATGTACTTTTGATTCATCTCAATTTGTGACATCATTTTCATGATGTGAGGATAACATTTTAGTTCAAGGATCCCCAAAGAAACACTGACATTTTATAACCCATTATTTGTTACCAAACAACAGCAAATAGTCCTTTTTGTAAAAAAAACTGCCTGCCGGTTTTCCCTCAAATCTCAGTGCAGGTGCTGGCAGAAGGACAAAAGAATGCTCTGCTCTATCTCAGAGCAGCTAGCAGGAGGGGAGGCAGCCTAACAGTTGAACTGAGAAGTCAGCAAGAATATCTCCCTCTCTCCAAGGGGCTCTGGGTGAGGTGCTAGGCAGTGATTAAGCTATGAGTAAAGCACTGAGGCTGGAAATGGTCAGAAACCACAGAGGAACACAGAGATGAACTCCTGGAAATACCTCTTCCTCCGGTTACCAGTGCTATTATTTTTGAACAGAAAACGAAAGCTGTGCTATACAGCCAAGAAACAGGGACAAAATACACCGAGCTGAAAAAACAAGTAACCAGATGAGAAGACCACAGGAGGTTTGCTCCCATACGATAAGTATGCATTAGGCAGTCAACACATTTTTTGTCAGACACCTAGACAGAATCATGGCACATGGCCACTTCCTTGTACAGTGAGGGCAGCCCTTTGGGAGCATGACTGGACAGCCTTTAGTATGCACTATGAAAGCAGGCTCAATGCACTATGGGAACTGGACTTGTAAAGCCCAAGAGTAAACCAACATCTTTGGTTCTGAAGGCAGAGGATATATTCAGGTTGTCTGTCCAGAATTTCATCCGATAAAACTCGGATTGTAGACCAGTAACTGTTCAAATTTTTTATAATCTGTTTACATTTGAACAGGTACAGGGAACTCATTCTGTTGTGTTGATTTTTTTAATTCCCCTTTTCCACTCCGAGCTACCTACTGTGACACAACAGACGATGCAGCTGTGTAATTATACAACTTATTATTAGATCATATAGGCAGAACAGACATTACTAGCATTCCTCATTTATACTGTAATCCACTTACTGAGGTTCATCATTGTCAGTTCTCTGGAGGAGGGATAGTGCAGCCTCTCTGCAAAGTCTCGGCAATACCACACAAGCAGCTCTTGGTTGGCAGGGATGGGCTTTATGGTGTAGAAGTAGATGTTCATTCCATTCTGACAAGCAGCCAAATTCTGTTCCTGAACAGAGTAGCCGGGGTTTACATAACGCATCCAGTTGCTCTTGTCCTCGTTAAAACCGTCAATGAAGTGGTGAAGCTCACCACTTGAATAGATCTGGAATAGAGAGGAAGCACTTAGGAAAATATATATGCACAATATGCAACACGTGTGCACAGAGTCCAGAGGGGAAAAACGATAAGCTGCCTTTTTTTTTTTTTTAACAAGCAGATATTATTCAAATAAGAATTCAAGCTGCATTCCCCCCTTTCCAACTATGATATCCTCTGCATTAAGAGACGCTTATCCAAAGTTAAGTCCACAGTCACCTTTTTCATTTCTGCTTAGCCTGTGTCTCTGCTAGTATAAACAAATCAGATTCAGAATCTGAAATGCAGAGTACTCTCCCTGAGTGAAGTCTACCTTAGAGCCCTTTTCCTGGTGCGATGATCAACAAGTGGGTGATGCTAATGACTGCAGGTCTGAGTGCATGCTTGCATTAATGCTTTGAGTCACCTGTGTATAAGACTGACTGGCTGCACTACGTCAGAGTCTTTCTCGCCTTTTTCTATGGCCTCTGTACTTGCAGTTTCCTACCACCTCCACCCAAAGGTTTAAGCTATGCAAACATCCTCCACCCCCCCAGAGTCCTAGAGCAACACTCGCTCACAGTTAGACTGTAACCCTTTTGTAGAAAGGCTGGGTGAGGCAAAGATGAACTTCACCTGCCATAACTTAACGAAGACCTGGAGAGGGGCCAGCTGATGAGAAGTCACTTTTTCTATCGAGGGACACGTTCTGGCTTGTCCACAGAAGGGAAAGAAAACATGATTCTAAAAGCTGCTCAGCAGCTTGGGGGTAAAGAAGTCCCAATCTCTGATAGAAGCTACTGTCTCTTCAAGTGTAAGAATAATTATTTAAAAAAAAAAAACCAACAAACAAACAAAAAAACAACAACAACAACAACAACAAAAACCAAACACCAAGAAAAATCCAGGAGACACGTTTGTTAAAAACACATCCCTTACTCTCGAGGGGAACTAGCTCCGTGCTGGATGAAAAAGGGTTCCTGAGTTTCACAAAACAGATGACCAGGCAAAAGCCAGACCTTCAAGTGGGAGCAGCTTGCACCAGCGCCGCACCTCGCTGAGCAGGAAATGCCTTCCCGAAGGGGAGACAGAGCTTATCTCAGGGAGAAAGCACTCCACAGCACGTTCCTGCCTTTGTGTTCACACCACTGTCTTTCGCACCTACCTGGCCGGGCAGTGCACCCCGCGAGCACCCGCCGGCCAGCCGGACCCTCTCCTCTTCTCCCTGCGAGAGCCGCTGGCGGAGAGGGGCGAGACAGTCTGGCCCTTTAACGCGGGCCGTAAACACCAGAATCACTTTCTTTAAGAGTAACTTCCTGTAAACTGAGAAGGGGGAAATACATGTGGCCTCATCAAAGCAGCCTGCGAGAGATTTTGCGGTGTGTTTGTTATGAGAAAATGGAAGGGAGCTTGGCGAGTTGTGCTGCATCAAGAGGAGCCTTCGGGTTTCTCTGCTCACTCCGGCTCGCAAACTTCCAGGAACGCAGGGCTCCGGCACTCGATGCCTGCCACCGCTTCCCAAACCGGCCCTCCACCTCTCCCACGGCAGGGCCACTGATGCTGCCGGTCACCGTGCTCCGGCTCCGGGGCAAAGGCACCCTCCACCGGGCTCCCACCTATTGTGGGGAAGGCGAGACCAGATGTGCTGAGTCATGGCACGGTTCCCAGAAATGACGCCGGCCCCGGGTGGCCCCGCTCCCCTTGCGCGGGCAAGGCGCAGGCAGCGTCCCCCTGTGCACACAGCAGATGTTCCCACTCCTGCCAGCAAGCCCAGGATGCCTTTAATAACATGTGGGAAGTTATCTCCCACAATTTCCTTTGCATATGCAAGCCTGTGTCAGACCCCTAGGAAGGAATTCATTTTCAGTGCAGCAGCCTGTCTTGAACGAATCAAGAGATTATAACAGGGAATTTAACGATGCTTAGATGGCTGCTAGGATATTATTTCTGAGGATCCCTCCACATTAAGGCTTAAAATCACATCATGAGAATGATGTCACCTTTCTTGCTAAAATATATGAACGAAGTCCTGCAGGACAGTTAGCAGCCCCTCCTCCTGATGTCTGCCATCTTACTAACAGCTGGCAGGACTAGGGCCAATGTGCCAGTCCCTTCCTATGCTGGACCCAAAAAATTCAGCTGAAGGAAACATTTTGTAGCCTTGTCAATGTGAAAACACTTGCCTGCTTTGTAAAAATGCTCATGAAGATAACTGCCTGTGCAATGCTGTGTTACATTGCACAAAGATGATCTGAGAAAACCAAAATGATGCAATTAGGTAGGAAGAAAGGGGTGTGGGGAACGCTGGTGCTTGCCCTGGGTTTCACCTGGATATGAGGTCGGGATATTGCTAAGGCAGGCAGGCACCCGAGCACAGAGGCTTGGATATACTCCCAAATCCACCGATTTAGACACAGCCTAAATGGCTAGAAGGCAGCAAAACAAATCCATGGAAGGAGATGGGGCTGAAGGAATGTTCTCTAACAATTAATAATGGGTCTGTAAAGGAAACTGAGGATTATGTCAACTGATAAACTGGAAGCATATTCCCCAACACAGACTCCCCAAGCCAAAACAAACTGGCTGGTGCTCCCTTCCAGCTTATACTACGGAGCAGAAATGAGGCATCACCTCTAGTATTGACTGGCATTAATGGATTTTTCCCTTCACTAAGATCTGTGGGCTGCTCTTTTAACACTTTCTGAAGCAGACTTGAAAAGCTTATGACTTGAATGATACACTCTAAAGACCACCACCACTGTGTTATAGCAATTCTATTCAAAACCCAGGAAAAAATGTCACAAAATTTATTGCAATCCTAGGGTAAAAGATGATGCAGCACTTTCACAACTTCTTCATAGCTGGGAAAATCAAGGATACATGATATTTGCATAAACAAGAATGACTTTCCGCTGTGAAGAAATGCAAAATAACCTGCCCCTACAGCAAGCAGCAGAACTATTTCTTTACGCCATCAAGCACCGATCCGTTTCGGAAGACAGAGTCGGGAAGGGCTGTGCATCTCCCCCGCTCTCTCCACCCACACGGTCCCTACACACAAGACAGTCAGGCTTTTACTGGGCTTGGTTCACCCCACTGCTCTGTTTGAGCCTGGCAGCGCAGAGAAGTTGCCCCCTGCATTCACACAGGTCTGAAGCAGGAAGTGACCCAGCTTCTCAGCTGTACTCATTTAGTGATCTCCTTACTGCAACAACATGGTGCTGTTTTTTCCTGCTTACCCGCCAAAAGTATTTTCTGTTTGCATTCTTGGGAACCGTATCGCTGGTATAGATCTCTCCTACCAGGGGTCCAAAGCGCGTTCCTTTTGGGATGTACTCTTTGCTTATAACTCCAGTGACCTACAAGAAGAGCAGCACAGGATCAGTCCGTTGCCAGGAGAGATCAAAAAGTCTTCCTTTCTCTCCCCCGTACCCCGAAACTTAACAAGGTAAAGCAACCGATGCAAGAGGTTTTTAGTGACAGGTGAGCAAAACAGAAATAAATTGGCAACTGTGCTGGATACGATACAACCAGCTCTGTTAGGTACTAGCATCTTACCAAGCATATGGAAGCCAAAGATGAACACCTTCTGAAAAATGCATTTTGTGGAAATACATTTACAAGAAGAAGCAGTTAGCAAAATGTACAGAGACTGTCAAATATCTTCAGAAGTTACTTCTCCCACCAAAGGCAACCCCCAGAAATCTAGTTCCAGTGAAGAAGAATATTCAATAGCTATCAATCACTTCACTGCTACAGAGCTCACTTTTCTAATAAGTTAGGAACTGGAATGACTGCTCCTCCAGATCAAAATGAAACCTTCCCCTCACCTCCCCCCTCCCCTGCTTCTCTGCTCTATACCCATCCTGGCAGCTAAAAGAAGAACAACAAAAAAAAAAGACAACCTACAATTCTCTCACCAGCATATAGTGGCATACAAAACAGAATACGAAATGGCTTTGGGACATGTACTCGCAGATCACCCTCTTATAAAAAGGAGTCAGCAGTTCCGGTAACATATGTCAAGTGGGTTTGGTCTGAAAGGCGTAAAGATTTTGATGAAAATGCTCCACTATGCTAGGTCTAAGAAATGTATTCTAGTTGTTCAGCTTCCTTCTTGACAGTAATTATACCAAAAAAAGTCACTGACCACAAATCAGGAAGCAATTCATCATTATTCAGAAGAACGTGCCTTGGAGTAACCCTTTGCAAAACACTGCTGAGTTACTGGTTTTGTCTCTCTCTGTTCCTCACCAATCTGCTTAAATTTAATGTATCCAAACAATGTTAGAAAACCAACAATTTTGTAAACCAAAAACCCCAAGCCCTTGCAAGGTTGATCCTGCTGCTCAGTCAGTGGAAAAAAAAAGGAAGATAGAAAGCCCATTAATTTGGTATTAAAACCAGACTTTCATGGCAAAATGTATTAATAGTATCTCCTTCACACATCTTGCCACTTGTCTTTTTGTTCATCAGGACTTCAGAACAAGGCAAGAACAGCAGAAGTGGTTCACAAACAGCGAGAGTTAGGATTATTGCTGTCTGTACTCCCCAAAGAAAAGTTCTTACCAAAGCAGATTAGCACTCATTAGACCCTGCAGATAGCTCACTGAAGTGAGCATTTCTTTTTCTTCGTTAAAGCAAAGGAGGCAAAAACCCTGGACTGTAGCTAGCACTTAACAAATTAGTTAAGCCTTGTGATTTTCTCATGCTACATTTTCTTTTGTTGTATCATCCTTGGTGTGAGAGAGGGAGAGAGACAGACAAATAATTACTTGTGTATTGGTCAAGATTAAAACTCTCAGTAAACAGACTAACACCTAGCATAATTTGACATTAAATGTCAAAATAAAGGTGACAAATAACAACCACGGAATCAAGGAGGTAATCCACCCGGAAACAGATTTCTGGGTGTACGTGGTAGCTGTTTGCGCTTGTTTGCATTTCAACATGTGTTTCGGCACACTACAAAAAAAATTAAATGTCAACAGCAGAGGTAGTTAAATGCTCCATTGATCTGTGCATCTGGACTGAAAAGAGAGAAAAGGGACTTCCAGAAATTTTCCTACACCTACCACAAGCTGAAACAAGCTCAGTGGCTCAGTTTTATTTTTGTCTTACTTGTACATTTCTCATAGAGAGCTGAAAAAGGCAGATGTTCTTCTCATCTTCCCCATATATCTTCATTTACATCCATCTGCCCTCTCAATAAAAGTTCACAACCAAGCTACAGCACACCCTACTAGTTTTACTGCATGGTAACTGGAGTTTTTTCATGGTTTTAAAATATCTTGGTCTTAATTAAAAAGACTTTAATGAAATTCTCAGAATCTCTAGAAATCACTCCTCAAACTAGTCAACTTGAAACACTCACTGAACTGGTGTCTCTGACACAGCAGACACTTTTTGATATCCACCTTACATGCAGTGTTTGCTTCTCCCCCAGCACAGCTGAACACAATTTCTCACCCTGTACCATCAGACGGTTATTTCTGTGGAGGATGTTCTGTACACCCGTGTGTACCAACACTGAAGTTTTGCTAAACCGGACTAAAGCTGTCCGGATGACTATTAATGGAGGGTGGCTTTCTGGTCAGCAACTCTCGGCCTCCGTTGTGCCCCCACAAGCTCAGCTGCTGTGGTCAAGGAGGGGTACCCTCCAGGAGAGGGGTGCCGACAGTGCCAAGACAGACTGGCTCCAAGCTGCCGGCAGCCCCCCCGGCCGCAGCCAAAAGGGGCTCCTGTCCTGCCGCTGCTTAAGGGGGACGGCTTAACAAGAGGCCCCGAAGTACAGAGCTGCCGAGGGCTTGTAGGCAAAACAGCGAAGGAACTCCCCGTCCAGAGCGGAGGGGAAGCCGTCTCCGGGCTGCCGAAACGCGGTGGCAGAGGCATTTCAGAGATGTGTCCACCAGGTGTCCTTCAGCACACTGCTGCCTCGCGGCGACGGGACCTTCCCAAACAGCCTCCTGGCAGGGAACCACAGGGGAGCATGACCCGAGCTGGCTCCCCGCAAATAAAAACCTACTGCCCTTGTGCAGCCTTCTGGGTCTGAACCGTGCCGTAAGGGAGCAACGCGCTCCTTGCAGAACTATTCTCTTCAGACACTTCCCCCCTCTCCCTTCAAAGTTCCGAGTTTCCACGCTTGCAAGCCGGCCGCTAGCACGTTTTTCCTTTCAGCGAACCAGCATTTCCCGCACGGAGAGGCACTCAAACGTTAGCCTGAAGCCGCAAGGCCGGTTCCCGGCGCGGCGGGCAGCCACGGCTCCTGCCGAGGCCGGGCCGGGCTCACCCGCTCGCCCTCCCCT